AGCTGCACGCAGCAGTTTTCGTAACCCCCCCTTTCCCAATCCCCCCCTTTCGCCCGACCCGAAAGGAGGAGGTGGAGGAGGAGGAGGAGGAGGAGGAGAGGAGGTGGAGGAGGAGAGGAGGAGGAGAGGAGGAGGAGGAGGAGGAGGAGGAGGAGGAGCAGGTGGAGGAGGAGGACCAGGCCGTGGAGGACGAGGAGGCCGGTGGGGAGCCCGTGCCTCGAGCCTGTCGTGGGCGACGGCTCCCCGAGGGGCGCCCGCCCCGCTGCGCGCGCCTCCACCCCGAGGGGCCATGTCGGCCAGGAGCCGGAGCCAGGACCAGGGCGACGACGACGACGACGACGAGGGCGACTGCAGGGGCAAAGAGGTAGCAATAACCCGCTGCGCCCTGGACCTCTCCTCTCCCGGGGGTGCGTTCTGACCGCAGAGTTTCGAGGCGAAGCCAGCCGCGGCGACGAGGGAAGCGTAGCGGCATCGGTATCTCCTCTGCTTCTGGGCGACGGCGACGAAGACGACGGCGACCGCAACGCCGACCACGGCGACGCCGACGCCGACGGCCCGACGGCGACGACGGCGGCGCCTCCCCCTACGTGTGGTAGTAGCACGTGGTGCCGCCCGGCCGGCAGGGCCAGCAGCACCGGCCGTCGCCCGGGGGCGTAGACTGCGCCTGCCGCCGAGGGGTCGTCGTCAACGCCTTCGTGGCCGTCGCGGCCGCGTGCGTCGCCGTCGGCATCTCGTCTGCGAGTCGTCCTCGGCGTCGTCGTCGTCGTCGGCGAGGTGGAGCCGCGAAAGCGGCGCCCGGGCTGCACGCCGAGGGCGCGGCTTGGCCCCCACGCGACAGTGCAGCGCGACGGCGCAGGAACCCTCAGACTCAGGCGACGCAAAGCGAAACATCGCGGCGGCCAGCTTCAGGGCGTTCTCGGCCTCTGGTCGGCAGTACACGCAAGAGCGCCCCTGGGCAAGAGTGGCCTTTGATGCGCGGCGTTCGGGGGCCGCCCAGGCGGCCAAATCCGAACGTGCTGGCCCGAGCTGGGGAGACCCCGGTGAGCCCACACCACAGGTCACTCCGGCGAAAGGTCACTCTCATGCGTGCAGCCGATCCGGGAGCCGCCGCCGAGCCCCCTGGGACCGTCAGCAAAAACGGCTCGGGGGCAACGAGACGGGGGGATAGGCATCGGGGGAGATGGGGTATAGTGCAGAGGCCGGGGGGCCCGCGTCACGGCAGAACCGCGACGGTGGAGGGGAGGGGAGGCGTCCGGCCGGCGCTCGCCGCAGAGCGGGATGGGCGAGTGGGCGCGGCGGTCGGTCGCAGCAGCGCCAGAGCGAGGAGATCTACACATGTCCACTGCCCCTGGCCAGGCCCGTCCTGGGCCCAGGAGCAACGCACAGGCCTCCCTGGCCAGGCTGGGAGGGCGCAGAGCTACACCGCTCCTGGGCCCATTCTGGGCCTTGTCAAGGGCCGTGGACACGTACAGGGCAGTTTTTAATACATCGGATTTTTGTGATAAAACATGATTTTAATACATGATGAATTCATGAATGAATTTATGCATGAACTCATCGTTGTTTTTAATGCTATGTCCCTGCATTTTTAGTACATGATCCGCACGCGGAGCATGTATTAAAAACGGCACTGTATGGTGGAGATCTCGTCGCCCTGCAGCGCGGGTGACGGCGCCGCGCCGACGCTCGCCCCAAGGCAGGGTGGGGCGAGCGGGCGCGTCGGCCCTCCCGCCGCCGGCACTGCGGCGGGGGATGTGCGGGCGGGTGGGCTTGGCTGGGACGGCTCGGGGGGGTGGGGCGGGCGGAGGGGGGGATTGGCGGGGGGAGGACGGAGGGTCGGCAAGTCGGCAAGCATCGCGCAGGAAGCTTCTGATCGGTTTCGGCCTCTGGGGGCTCGTTTTTTGGGTGCCGAACAACCACCGTGGCCCCTGGCATGTTGAGGCGTGGTAGAATGCCAAGGGCTGTCCGGTAGGGCTTCTACTCTGTGAGCTTCTGAAGGGTCTCCCCCCCGTTCACAGAGTGGCGCATGCACTGCCCCCCCTACCGAGGCCACGATCCGTCCTAAGAGCAGTTGATCCGCACTCCCGAACGTCAAAGACGGCCGAGGCAGGCAACCAAGACGACCCCTGGCCTCAGGTGTCTCAGGTGTCAGGTGTGAGCTGATGGCCTCAGTGTCTCCCGAAGGTGTTCGAACATTGTGGAGCCTTGGCTTTTTCTGACTTCGGTCAGCTCCAGACGGCCCTAAAGGCCTCCGAGATAGCCCCAAGACGGCCCCGATCCACCGAGAATGCTCCGTACGAGGCCAGGAAAGCCAGGACGAAACGGAGGAAGACGACGAAGACGAGAAGAAAACCCCGACACGACGTGGATGAGTGCGTCACATGTTACGGGTCTCCCAAGCATCGGGACCCGACGTGTCCCGAACAGGCGCCACCCAAGGTGCTGTGTTGGCACGGTGGCGGGACTTGACGCAGGCAGCTGAATGCTGAATACTGATCAGAGTGGACCTGGGGAGGGGTCTGGGGACAGATACTGAGCGAATGTCGGGGCGTGAATGTCGGGGCGTGGCGGCGGATGAAGCAAGGGGAAGAGGGGGGAGGAGCGGGCAGAACGAGCTGGCTCAAACCGAACCCACAGGCCCACAGCATTTTCAGCAGGTCGACCGATCGCCTTATGTGAGGATCTGTGCTCCTGGTGGTGAGCTCAGTGCGACTCGCAACTGCATGAAAGGAAGCACGAGAGGCGTACCCGCAAGGCCCCGTATGCCTCGCAGAGAAGGTCTGAGTCCAAACATGTTGACACCTCCTCGGGGCGCACTTCTCACTTCCGCCTGCTTCCACCGGCTTTTCCGCCCCCGGACCCGCCCTCGTTGTGCTTCCGCCGAGGGGGAGGTGTCAAGCTTTCCATTCCCCAGAAGGCGGGGCCATCTCTGGAACGCCTCAGTGGCAGGGACCTGCCTCGCAGACCCCGTAACCCGTGGACCAAACATGTAGCACGCCAACGGCATCTTCAGTACAAGCCGGTTGCTTCTTCGATTGTGGCAACAGCTGCGAAGATGCAGTCTTGCCGTCGGCGCTTACTAGGCTCAAGATGGAGAAAATTTACGCGTGCTGGGACGCCCCGTGCCTCCGTCTACTCTAAATATGCTGTAAACGTAAGGGTCATGCTGCGCATCATCTTAGTATCTGGCTGACGGCATGCTCATGGCCACCTCGTTGCGTACCAAGGATTTGCATCAGCGGCGAGGGAAAAACAATGAGGCATTCGTGGATCACCTGGTGCGCCGTTTGTCTGTCAATCTCATCCGTGGGTCAGGGCCGACTTCATCAGGGGGGAGTTCGTGTTTCAAGTTCGTGGGGCAATCAATCGGGCCATGTGGGGCGCCATTATCGGGTCATTCGTTGTGCCGCATGAGTAATAGGTGACGACTAGTGCTGCCTCCCCGTCGTTGGCCCTGCCTGCGCCGTTTGAAAGAAGATGGAGGCAATATCCCGAACACCTCGCAACATAGTTTTCGGAACCGGCAGCGTATCGCCTGCAAGCACACACGATCCATGGTGTTGATCAAAAATGCTGTGGGACTGTGGGACCCCCTTTGCAGGCGTGGGGGGAGCCCTGCCAACGTGAGAACCCTCTTCGCCAACACCCTGCGGGCCCTCGTCAGCTTGAAACAGAGGCCCCTAGGATACGGAAGTCTGCATCAGGGGCCAAGGATTTTTTCACTGAAGTTTATCACCACCCCGGCTTCAAGGTACAAACTCCCAACCAACAGTGCATCTTTGGCTGCCCGCTCCCCACCCACCCGCAAAAGGACGAGGAGAAGAGAAGGAGGAAACAGGGGAGGAGGCAGGAGTGATAGGGGATGGGAAAGGGAAGAGGGATGAGGGAGCGAGGAGGGAGCATGGTGAGGCAGAGGGGGAACAGCAACAGCAGCGAGGAGAACCAAAGGGGACGAGAAGGATGAGAGGAGAGACGGGCCGCGATATGGAGGGGGACGAGGAGGGCGCAGGGGGCAGGGCGACGATGACGATGATGAGGCAGGACGAGCGGGGCGCGCCTGGCACTGGTTGCTGCCGCAACACTCCCCGCAGCAGTACGGCCGCCCCGCTGCCGAGGCCGCTGGGCACAGCGGGCAACCCGCGCCCCCGCTGCCATGGTGGCGGCAGACCTGGGGGAACGGAAGGATGCAGCAGACACACACGATCAGGAACCCTGCCGCGAGAGACCGTGACGGGGCACATCAGTCTCGGTCGACCCTCGCGGATCCCAAGGTGCCCCAGGGCTTCTGTGGGTCCCCGAGGCCGTCGGGGGATGAGGAGCTCCCGTGAGGACGGGCGGGCCGCTCTCTTCCTTGCTGTGCCTGCTGCCCTCCGTGGACCTCCCCCGAGGAGCGCCGCGCCTAGGATGTCGAGGCGACCCGGGCCGTGGCGACGAGGGCACTCCGGGACGAGCGGCGGGATCGGCGCTCTCTCCCCCCGCTGCGCGCCAAGAGCGACCCTTGGCAGACGTGGCCTCGAGCGCGCAGCTCCAGAGGCGTGCCGCGGGGGGGGGGGGAGGGGGGGCAGCTCTAGAGGCGTGCCGCGGGGGGAGGGGGGGGGGGGGGGGGGGGGCAAACCCGAGCGCACACGCCGATGCTATCTCGCACCGCACTGGGCCGTCGGGGGGCCCGAGTGGCTCACAGCAGGTGTCACTCTGGCGGAGGGTCACTCTGAGCCTGGCGGCGAGCGAGGACGGAGGAGGAGGAGGAGGAGAGGAGGAGGAGGAGGAGGAGGAGGAGGAGGAGGAGGAGGAGGAGGAGGACAAGGACAAGGACAAGGAGGAGGAGGAGCAGGAGGAGCAGGAGGAGGAGGAGGAGCCCATCCCCACCCCCGGCAGACCGCCGAGCCCGCGCGCGCCTCGCGGGGCCACCGGCACCGCTCGCCGCGCGGCCCCGCCTGCGCGCACTGCGCGCGCGGGCACGCGGCGCCGGCGCACAGCGGCCCGCCGCCGGCGGGCAGCGCCGCGGCGCAGAGGGCGCAGGCGGGCGCGGGGGCGACGAAGCGCGCCAGCCTCGGTTTTAGGTCGGGCCTGTCCCCCGACAGGGGGATGTTCGACGAACAGTTTTTTTTTTTTTTTTTTTTTTTTTTTTTTTAATGTGGGGACTATTTTTTGAGCATGTTCTGATCTTTTGAGCATTTTCGGGGTATTGTTTTTTTGGTCGTCGAAAATCCCCCCTTATAGGGGGACAGGCCCGACTTGAGCCTCGCTTCGGCGGCGCGCCTGGGAGGGGGGCGAGATGACGAGGGGTGGGCCTTCTCGGCGGGCGGGGGGTGCTTCTCGGAAGGCCTCGCGCCTCCCTCCGACATATCCGTCTGCCGCGCCTCCGGGGGGGAGGCTATGCGGTGAGACCTCGCATGCAGGAGGCCCGAGGCCTTCCGGGCCTTCTGCGACGAGAGCCCGCCCCCTCTCACCTTCCCCCCCGGGGCGCGCCGCCGATCAGCGTCTGTGAAGGGAAACTGGGACACACAAATAAATACACACAAATAAAAAGATTCCCCTTATTTTCCTATATTTTCGGGGTTTTTGTCTTCCCCACCACTTCCCATATTTTCCCATATTTTCTGGGAAATCGACGATTAATTGTGTCTGTGTGTTTTTTTTCCTCCTGAGTCTGGCGGACCACTCGGCCGATCCCGCCACCCGATCACGCGAAGCGGTCGCGGCCCCAGCAAAAGGTGGCCGCCTCGCCGAGCACGGCTCGACCGCGCGGTCGAGCGCCCGGACGCTCGCGAACGATCGGGCCGAGGCGATCACGCGAGCGGCGAGCCTGCGATCTCTCCCGATCACTGCGATCCCCAGACGTGCGACGCCCTGTTTTTTTTTTTTTTTTTTTCAGGGCGGCGCCCCTGGAAATCCTGACCCTTTTTCCCCGGGACCGGTTCTTCGTCCCGAATCGTTTTTTGGCGGTCCCGAGGCCCGGGGAGGGCCCCCGCGAGGCCGAAAAAATGGTCCCAAAACCGCCCGTCCTTCCCTTTGACGACGCGACCATTTCTGGGTCTGTAACCGCCGATCGCGTGATGAGCGGACGCCGAGGCGACGGCGCCGCGGCCGCGTCGGGCGCGGCGGGCAGGCGCGACGGGGCGTCGCTGGGCGGCCGGCACTCGGAGGCGTCGACGGCCGGCGGTGCGCGGCGAGCGGCGGCGCCGTCGGCGACGACGTCGTCGACGCCGCCGCTCGGGAGGGATTTGGTTGGGCTGGGCGCGGCTCGGAGAGGCCGCCAGGCAGGCACACCCAAAAGGGGGTCCAGCTGAAAGGGGGTGGTGCAATAGATTTGGGGCAATTGTATTGCACATGTTTTGCGCCGTAGAAATGTATTGCATTGTATTGCAACTAAGGTATTGCACGCGAAAGCCCAGCAATACATTTGCGCCGAGGAATGTTTTGCACGCCCCAAATGTATTGCAACCCTACAGATCTATTGCACCAATTCTATTGCACCACCCCCTTGTCGTTGAACCCCCTTTTGGGTCAACCCGAGCCAGAGCGGTTGGGGTCACAGGCCCAGCCGATTTGTCTTTTTCGATATGCGGCCCCAAAAGGTCCCTAAGGGGTGGTTTTTCATCCCGGATCCATTTTTGATAGTCCCCGCGGGACCGATAATGGGCACCGGAAGCCGAAATCCAGGAAACCAGCCGGGTTGAAAAAAATCATATCCTCGGATCTCTGGGGGGCTGGCCTTGAACGTTCTTGCCAGGTGCGGGGCGAGGGGGGGTTCAAAATTCAGACGTCCAGGCGTGGGAAGCAACCCTGACGGCTGGTTCCCCAAGTCTCGGCCTCTGGGGGTGGTCCGTTCTAGTCCCAAGTACGGGGTTGAGAGCTCCGGGGGCCACGTGCGGGAAAAAACGTAACGTCGAAAGTTTTGGGGGGATCGGCCTTCTAGGAAGGCAGTAACTTTCGCTTAGCGTGTCGCGGCGGCGGCCCCAGCACTGCACGCGGATAGCGTGTCGCTCCGATCCGCGGGGCGGGAGGCTTCGAAACGTTGGGAACTTCTGAAGACTGGTATTTGTTTAGCGTCTTGTGCCGAAGCGAGGTGAGCCCAAACCAGCGGCGCGACACGCTAAACACACATGCCCAACCGTATACGAAGGCGGCAGGATACGGCAGGGCCCGTGCGAGGCCGAGCGCCGCCCTCTTCGAAAGGCAGCCCTCCTCCCGCTTCTGCGCGCCGCCGGCGATGGTGGCCCAGGACGACAGCTTGTGCTGGCCCGCAAGCTGGTCCCCGCCAGTTGCCAGCATCCTAGCGCGCTGAGATCTATACACGTCCACCGCCCCTGGCCAGGCCCCTCCTGGGCCCAGGGTTGGGCGTATGCGCCCTTCTGGGTTGGGCAGAAAGGCGCACACGCCGGTCCTGGGCCCAGCGTCGGCCTTGCCAGAATCGGTGCGGTTAGGTGTATAGTTGGCGCCCTCCGACATCCGCATCCCCGGCGCCAGCCCGTCGCCGGTGTCGATGTTGTCCGGACGCTCCCACTCCGCGCCGCTGGCGGTGAAGCACGCGGCGGAGGCTGGCGCCCAGCCGCCGTCGGTGCGGCGCCGGAACCACGCGGGCCCGAAGTGGGCGCGCCGCTCCTGCAGCGTGCTGACGTGGTCCCGCCGGAAGTCCTCTGCGAGGACAAGCGATGCGATGCGACCCGCAATCCAGCCCCTTTGGAGCGGTCCTCTATAAAAGGGCAACCATATGGGACACACAGTCCGGCAACCGTGTGCAACGGAAGATGCTTCATACAAATCATACGGGCGTGGAAAAATCATACGCATCCACCGTCCGGGGAACTGATGTCACGGGATCCCAGGGGGCGGTCGACATGATTGATATTTCTGTGCCCCCCCAGGTGGACCCGAAAATGTCGGTGTGTATATATATATATATACACATACATACTAGATCTATCGCGCGCGCTTCGCGCGCGGTCAAGTTCTAGCTAAGGTCATGATTAGTGTCATCATTGTCATCCTCATCCCCGACATCGTCATCGTCATCGTCATGGTCATGGTCACCTTCACCATCACCATCACAGCAATCATCACTATCACCATTATCTTCAGCATCGTGATCACCATCGTCATCATCGTCATCGTACTTTTAAGCATCATCATCCGCATTATCAACATCTTGTTAGTCGTCGTCGGCGTCGTCGTCGGCATAATCATCGTCATCATCATCATCAGCGTTATCGCCGTCATCATCCCCGGTCCACTGCAGTCCACTTACCCTTCTCCTCTTCCCGCTCTCCCTCTTCCCATCATCTTATATAAATCCTTTTCCCTGTCTGCGTTTACCTGAAAGGGATCCCTGTCCCTTCACCTCCTCCTCCTCCTCCTCCTCCTCTTCGTCCTCCTCCTTCTCCTCCTCCTCCATGTCTTCCACACTCTTCGGTGTGTCCCTCCTTGTGTTCCTTCACCTACTTCACCTCCTTCCTCCTCTCGAGCCCTCTTAATCCTGCGCTCCCCTTCCCTCCTCGTCCTCAGCATTCCTCCCCGAGCCAGAGAATCAGAGAACAAGAACACATCAAAACACAATGTCCCTCCTCCTCTGCCCCCTCCTCTTCCCCCTCTTCGTCCTCCTGATCTTCCTCCCCCTCCTCCTCCTCCTCCTCCTCCTCCTCCTCCTGCTCGTCCTCCTCCTCCTGTCTTCCTCCTCCTCCTCCTCTCCAACCTCCTCCTCCTCCTCCTCCTCCTCCTCCTCCTCCTCCTCCTCCTCCTCCTCCTCCTATTCTTTCAGCGCGCCCAATACACTGGTGCCTACTGGACCGCGTGCCGGGAGCCTTTTTGGGAAGCATTGTGGCAGTCTCTGGAGCCTCTCCAGGCCTTCCTTTGGAGTCCTTTGGGGCCTTTGTTGGCCCGTCTGAGCGCTCATTTCGGCCGTTCGGGGTCCCTCTTAGCTCGTCGTGGGGAGCTCAGCCCGTCTTGGGGCCCTCCTGGGGCCCTCTCCGACCATGTAGGAATCCTCTGGTAATCCCCTCGAGCTTCCTGGGGGCTCTCTTGGGCCGTCTTGTAGCTCTTCTGTGCCGCTTGAAGCTCTCTTCAGCCCATCTTGGAACCCTCTTTGGGGCCTCTGGGGCCGTCAGGGGCCCATTTTGGTAACCTCTTGGGCCGTCGCGACCGCTGGTAGAACTGAAGAGCGAAGCTCCCAGAAATATACGCTTTTCCATAGGAAATGCTTGACTCTTGCCTTTGGAGGACCTTCTCAGCGGCCTCTTGGACAGTCGGGGGGGGATCATTTTGGGCGTTTTGTGGCCCGTCTGGGAGCCCATTTCGGCTGTCCCAGGCCCCTCTTGGCATGTCATGGGTAGCTGAACCGTGTTGGGGCCTTCATGGAGCCCTCTACTACCATGTAGGGATCCTCCAGTGGCTCCCTCGGGCCCCGTGGGGACTCCCTCGGGCTGTTTTGGAGCTCTCTCGAGGCTGTCTTGGAGCCCTCTTGGGCTGCTCTTGGAGGCTCTTTGAGGGTGTCTTTGGAGGCTCTCTTTTTTCAGCTCGCCGCTCGACGCTCCTGCTGCTCGACGCTCTCTTGAGGCCGTCGTGGAGCCCTCTTGGGAGGGCCTCGTCGCCCGTGGGGCGCCGCTTCGGGGAGCCCTTTGGGGCCGACGTGGCCGCCGATGGAACATAGGAGGCGAACCTCATCGGGGATGGGCAGACCCCTCTCTCGTAAAACGCGGTCTAGTGAGAACGACCCGAGGCCCAAACCTGGCGGGCGCAAGGCCTGGAAGAGAACGGCCACGGCGCCCTCTCGAGAACCGAGCACGGACCATTCACGAATCGGCGTGTCACTGTTGGGGGTGCTGTCCACCCCCGATGTCATAGAAATGCATTCTCCAAAAGGGCTATGCTCGTTTTGCAGCCGGGAGCCTTCCCGGCGGCCTCCTAGACCGCTTTGAGGGAGACCTAGTATAAGCTTTTTGTTGAACCCTCTGGGGGCCCAGCTCGGCCGCTCCGGGTCGCTCTTCGCCCGCCATGGGGGCCTGAGCCCGTCTTGGGGCTCTCTGGGGGCCCTTTTGGGGCCCTCTCCGACCATGTAGGGACCCTCCGGTGGCCCCCTCGGGGTTCCTGGGTACTCCCTTGGGCCGTGTTAGGGCTCTCTTGTGCTGCTCGAAAATCTCTTCAGGCTGCCTGGGGCCCTCTTGGATGCCTCTTGGGCCGTCAGGGGCTGATTTTGGGAGCCTCTGGAGCCGTCGCGGCCGCTGGTAGGACTGAAAGGCAAATACCCAAGAAATATTCATTTTCTCATCGGATACGCTTAATTAATATTTACCCTTTGAGGACCTTTTCGGCGGCCTCTTGGACCGTCTTGAATGCCTTTTGTGGCCGTCTAGGGGCAGTCTTGGGTTGTCTTCGAGCGCTCGTGGCCCGTCCACAAGCCATCTCAATGTGCTTCTCAGCCACCTTGCAGGCAACCTGGGGCGCTTTGGGCACCTCTTGGGCCAGCTTGGGAGCATCTGGGGGGTCGGCCACGTCGGGGTCATCTGGGCCGTCTTGGAGCGCCTTGGGGCCTCCCGCTGCCGTTCTGTGGCCCAGCTTGGGCCTGCCCTGGGGCTCTCTTGGGCCGTCTGGGGCTCCTCCTGGGCAATTGTCGGGCTCCCGGGGGCCGTCTTGGGGCTTTTGTTGGTGCCTCTTCGGCGGTCTTGGGGGCGTCTTCTGCCGTCTTCGAGCATTGGAAGCTCGAGAACGCGAGAAAGCGAAAAACATCGAACAAACCACAGCAAATCAATATTTGCTGCCTCTCTGGGCTCTCTCGGGACGTCTCTCGGAGCTCTCTTGGGCCCTCTTGGAGGCCTTTTGGGCTGTGTGTTTGCCGTCTTGAGCTCCTCTTGGGCCGCGTCGGGATCATCTGGGCCGTCGTTGGAGCGCCTTGGGGTCTCCCGCTCCCGCTCTGGGGCCCAGCTTGGGCCTGCCCTGGGATTCTCTTGGGCAGTCTTGGGCTGCTCTGGGCAGTCTTCAGGCTCTCCTGGGCCGTCTTGAAGCTCTTTTTGAGGACTCTTCGGCGGTCTTGGGGCGATTTTCGGGGCGTCTTCGGCCGTCTTGGAGCGTTGGAAGCTCGAGAACGCGAGAAAGCAACAAAAACAAAACAAATCAAGGATATGGGCCTCTTCGGGCTCTCTCGGGACGCCTCTCGGAGCTCTCTTGGGGTCTCTTGGAGGGCTCTTGGGCTGTGTATTGGCCCTGTTGGGCCCATCTGGGGCCACGTTGGGGCCATCTGGGCCGTCTTGGAGCGCCTTGGGGCCTCCCGCTCCCGTTCTGTGGCCCAGCTTGGGCCTGTCCTGGGGCTCTCTTGGGCCCTCTGGGGCTCCTCCTGGGCAATTTTCGGGCTCCCGGGGGCAGTCTTGGGGCACTTTTTGGGGCCTCTTCGGCGGTCTTGGGGCGGTCTTGGGGGCGTCTTCTGCCGCCTTCGAGCATTGGAAGCTCGAGAACGCGAGAAAGCGAAAAACATCGAACAAACCACAGCAAATCAATATTTGCTGCCTCTCTGGGCTCTCTCGGGACGTCTCTCGGAGCTCTCTTGGGCCCTCTTGGAGGCCTCTCGGGCTGTGTGTTTGCCGTCTTGAGCTCCTCTTGGGCCGCGTCGGGATCATCTGGGCCGTCGTTGGAGCGCCTTGGGGTCTCCCGCTCCCGCTCTGGGGCCCATCTTGTGCCTCTGCTGGGATTCTCTTGGGCAGTCTTAGGCTGCTCTTGGGTAGTCTTCAGGCTCTCCTGGGCCGTCTTGAAGCTCTTTTTGAGGCCTCTTCGGCGGTCTTGGGGCGATTTTCGGGGCGTCTTCGGCCGTCTTGGAGCGTTGGAAGCTCGAGAACGCGAGAAAGCGAAAAACATTAGAAAAAAAACACAACAACCAGAAATCAAGGCTATGGGCCTCTTCGGGCTCTCTCGGGACGCCTCTCGGAGCTCTCTTGGGGTCTCTTGGGGGGCTCTTGGGCTGTGTATTGGCCCTGTTGGGCCCATCTGGGGTCACGTTGGGGCCATCTGTGCCGTCTTGGAGCGCCTTGGGGCCTCCCGCTCCCGTTCTGTGGCCCAGCTTGGGCCTGTCCTGGGGCTCTCTTGGGCAGTCTAAGGCTCCTCCCGGGCAATTTTCGGGCTCCCCGGGGCCGTCTTGGGGCTCTGTTGGGGGCCTCTTCGGCGGCCTTGGGGCGGTCTTGGGGACGTCGTCGGCCGTCGTGGAGCGTCGGAAGGTCGAAAACGCGAAACACCGAAGAACATAGAAAACACCCAAGAAAATCAAGGATTTGGTCCTCTTCGGGCTCTCTCGGGACGCCTCTCGGAGGTCTCTTGAGGCCTCTTGGAGGCCTTTTGGGCTGTGTATTTGCGGTCTGGAGCCCATCTTGGGCCACGTTGGGGCTATCTGGGCTGTCTTTGAAGGACTTCGAAGTCCCCCGGGGGCTTTTGGCAGCGTCTTGGAGCTCTCTGGAGCGGTCTGGGGGCTCCACGGCCCCTCCGGGGGTGCTCTGGAAGCGGTCTCGGAGGCCCCAGCCACCCCATGCGCGCTCGGGGCCCGGGGCCCGGGCCCCCGGGCCTCGTGCGCGGGTATACATAGACACATATATATATACATATATATATATATATATATATATATACATATATATATATATATATATAATATATATGTATGTCTAGAGATATCCCTAACCACATCGGCCGCATCCCGAGGTCCAGGGATAAGATCGGTTTCTCAGGCGGTGGACATGGACTAGTCCAAGCCCCGGGTCCTCGATGAAGGAATAGAAGCCGCCGAAGGGCCTGCCGTGCGCCACGCGGTAGGACACCAAGTGCTTCCAGCCCGAGGCCCCGGAGCGCACGTGCGCCGCGTAGCAGGCGCGGCCGCCGGGCGAGCGGGAGCACTCCACGCACAGGGCCACCACGTCGCCCACGGACCTCGAAGAAGAACAATCGGATACACGCAGGAGTGACCCTGGGCAAGAGTTACCCCTGGGATGTTTGTCGAGGCGCGGCCCCGACCCCTTCCTGGGGCTCCTCCTCCTCCTCCTCCTCCTTCTCCTCCTCCTCCTCCTCCTGCTCCTCCCCCTCCCCCTCCTCCTCCTTCTCCAGGCCCTGGTGCACGGCATTGGGGGGCCGCGGGGGGGCCAAATCTAAGCGCGAAAGCTAATGCTGGGCACCCCGTGTGCCCGCCCCAGAGGTCACCCTGGAGACGGGCCACGATCTTACGCGTAGAAGAAATGGACTGCAGAAATAGAAACCTTTTACGGCTCAGGCGGATTTCTCGGATCGGCGCTGGACGCCCCTGGCGGCGCCTCCAGCGCCGCCCCTGGCGCGCTCCGCGCGCCAGGCAGGAGCGTTCAAAATCGACCCAAGAGATACGCACAAACCGTCGAAAGGTTCTAATCATGCCATGCTTCCCTCCTCTGGGACCAGCCGGTTGCGTCGTCGAGGCACTGGGCGCCCGTGCCTTCACCCCCGAAGCGCTTGACCTCTGCTGGGCGGAGCTTCGCCGCGCGGGGCGGGCGGCCTTGCGTGCCATCCCCTGGGCACACGCTTGCGGAACGGGCGGGGGGGTTGCTGTGCGGTGCGGGGTTCCGGGCAACAAACAGCAGGAGCACCAGGCGGGGCGGACCACGCGCCGCAGTGGAAGTGCCCCCTCCTCCCCCGCTGCAGGAAAACGTGCCCCACGCCGAGGTGGACCCGCTGGGCCATTCCTACCCGTGCTCCAATCCCAAGCCCCAAGGATTCACAAGCCGCTCGCGGGCGAAACTTATTCAGAGTACACAGAACTGCCTCGCAGTTACAGCAGAGGCGAGAACGATAATAACTCTTGCTACAAGGAGTCTAGGGACACATCCTTCGTGGACGTTGGTGTCAGCAAAGGGTCTCTGGGCCCACCAGGCGATGGGACATTCTCGTGGAGCTTCTTACGTCGCGTGCCTCCTGTACTCCAGCCTCCCCCCTAGAGACACTTTTTTGAATCGGCGAAAACCAAGGTTATCTGGGGGGGAGGGAGCCGGCCGATATCTTAACCTTCGCGCTGTGGGCAGCCCTGCATATGCCCGCGAGCACCGGTGCTGCGGCCCCTACAGCTGCTAACGATGCTGCCGCGATGTTACTATTGGTGCTGCGACGATGCGGGCGCCGTCTGAGAATGCTTAAGGATGTCAGGACAGCTCGCGTTGGAATACGCGGGATGTGATTGCTAAGCGTAGCCGCGAAGTCTTGTGTACACTATCTATTGAACACAAGTGCACCACACTGCCTGTGAGCACTACGGAACATGTGTGCGCCACAACGGTCTTGCACACCACAGGTGCTGCTGCAGCAGAGGCTTCTGCGTGCACCGCAGCGCCTGTGTACACCCCCTGCCTCCGCACACCACAGGGACAACGTGCACCACAACGTATGGCGAACATTTGCGCCACAGCGCTTCCGCGCACCTCCGAGGTTCCGCCGGGGCCCGAAATGTGGAAAATCCAGGGGGGCCCGAACGTATCAAATTCAACATGTAAGTTATGTGTGATTCTTGATTATTCTGGCCCGGGGTGCGGTCCCCCTGTTTTTGGCCGGCCATGTTTGTGTACACCACAGCGCCTGTCTAGCGTGCGCCACGACGCCTTTGTACACCACAGCTGCTTGTGTACACCGCAACGCTTGTCTAACACCACAATGCCTGTGTACACGACAACACCCGTGTGCACCACAGCGCCTGTGTACACTGCGGTGCTTGTGCACACCACAGGAGCCGTATGGCAAACATTTGCGCCACAGCGCTTCCGTGCACCTCTAAGGTCCCGCCAGGGCCCCTATTTAGAAAATCCCTCGGGGGCCAACCATATGAAGTTCAATATGTAAGTTATGTGTTATTGATGTTGTTTCTGGTCCAGGGTGCGGTCGCCCCGCTTTTTGCCGACCATATCTGTGTAATAACACCAATGCGGCTGTCTAGCGTGCGCCACGACAACCTTTGCACACCACAGCTGCTTCTGTACACCGCAGCGCCTGTCTACACAACAGTGCCAGTGTGCACCACAATGCCTGATTACACCACAGCGCCTGTCTAGCGTGCGCCACGACGCCTTTGTACACCACAGCTGTTTGTGTACACCGAAGCGCCTGTCTAGACAACAGTGCCTGTGTACACCACAACGCCTGTGTACACGACAACACCCGTGTGCACCACAGCGCCTGTGCACACTGCGGTGGGTGCTTGTGCACACCACAGAAGCCGCATGCACCACAGCGCATGGCAAACATTTGCGCCACAGCGCTTCCGTGCACCTCCAAGGTCACGCCAAGGCCCAAATTTAGAAAATCCCTCCGGGGCCCGAACATATCAAACTCAATATGTAAGTTATTTGTTATTCTTAATTTTTCTGGTCCGGTTTTTGGCCGATCATGTCTGTGTAAATACACCACAGCGCCTGTCTAGCGTGTGCCACGACAACCTTTGCACACCACAGCTGCTTCTGTACACCGCAGCGCCTGTCTACACAACAGTGCCGGAATACACCACAATGCCTGTGTACACCGCAGCACCGGTGTGCACCGCAGCGCCTGTGTATACCACACAACCTGCATGTGAACACGACGACGCCGATGTGCACCACGGTTGCTGCTTCAGCACCATACTCGTGCACCACAGCTCCAGTGCACCGCCGAAGTGCATGTGTACACCACAGAACTGCGTACACTTCCAGGGCCCCCGGCAGGACCGAACTAACTCCAGAAAATCGTGGGGAATCCGAACGTATCAAATCCAATATGTCAGAGTGAGGGGGCCGAACGGTCATTCATTGTCCCTGCGCGCGTGGCTGAATAAGGAATTCGTGGTGAGATTTCTGCTTGTTGCGTTGTTGTTGCTGTTGTTGGTTGCCTGTTGTCGTCGTCCCACCCGCGACCCACCAGCGACCCACCTTGCGACCCACCCGCGACCCACCCCGCAACCCACCCGCGACTCACTCGCGACCCACCCCCGACCCACCCCGGGACCCACCCGCGACCCACCCCGCGACTCATCCGCGACCCATCCGCGACCCACCCACGACCCACCCCGCGACTCACCCGCGACCCACCCCGCGACCCAACCTCAAGGGAGGAAAAACCACCCTGACCCGACAACTGATGTTTACTAAACGGCCCTGCCCTCCTGTTCGATTCATTCCTTGTGTGCGTCGCTTATCGGGGTGATTATTATGGGGCGGATCTTCTGCACTCTACACCCGCGACCCAACAGCGACCCACCCGCGACCCATTTGCGACCCACCTGCGACCTACCCACACTGGTTTAACGAAGAAAAAGGGCGCCTGCGGCGGGCTCATTGTATCATGTGTGAAACTTTGGCGCCTGCGGCGGGCTTCTCGAAAGTCTCGCAAACTGCCGACGTCCCCACCTTCCCCTCGCTCTTATCCGCATCTGCGGGGTGCTACGTAAACTATGTGTGATTTTTGATTTTTCTTGCGCAGGGAACGGTCCAGTCTTTTGGGCCCACAACGCAGGTGTACACCATAGCGAATGTGTGCACAGCAGCGGATGTGTACACCACAGCCCCTGTGTACACCACAAGTCGTGGTACACCGCAACAGTGCACCACAGTGCTTTCGTCGGTGTCGTCGTCGTCGTTCGTCGTCGTCTATCGCCATCTATCGTCATATGTCGTCGTCTGTTGTCTGTCGTCTGTCATGCGTCGTCGTCGTCGTCTCTCCGTGCCACTCCAAGCCCCAACGTTTCGCCAACGTGCATCCAAACACCAGCATGTTGTGGCGAACACCACCGCGGCGTTGAAAACAGCGCTTCCTGCAAGCTCCCTGCGCGCCCCCCCGAACCTGCACAACTGTCTAGGTTAGGTTATCCTGGGTGTGGGGGGGGGGGCGAGCCCGATAACCCGGGCTATCGCCGGACCCTATAAAAACAGTCTCCTAGACGAAGATAAAACATCCAAAAACATACCACTTTCGGAGGCCCGCACAGACCCCTCCCCCCCCTTCCGTACGGAGCGCGCCAGGGGCGGCGCAGGAGGCGCCCGCAGGGCGGTCCAGCACCCATCCAGGAAACCCGCGCGGATCTCCAAAGGATTATGTTTACTGCGGGCCTGGAAATTGGCACCGACAGGGGCCTGCCTCAACCGGGGGAAGACGATGCTGTGTTTCGGTGCTGGTGGTAATCTCTCTCAGCCACCTCAGGAATCCGAGAATAGCAACACCGCCGAGATAGATCCTCGGTGGAAGCCATCGCCGGTACTGGTGTTGGTGTCGACCTCTGGACCCCTGAGTGCATGCAGTTGGTTCCCTCCCGACGGGTTCGGGTTGTCAGCCTTAAGCCAAAGACCTCACGACCCGCCTCGCACACCTCGCAGTACCGCGGCCGCCAAGCCAAAGCATGCCTGCGCCCTCCGGGTATCCCGCCTCGCGCCTTCGCTGGAGGGCGGCGGCACACGGCGGCCGCTGGGCCCCAAGTATACAGGTGCTTCCCGAGTATCCCGCCTCACGTTCTTTTTTTTGCCGCACTTTCTGGCAACCAGGGAGCAAGTCAGTTACCAGACGGCGAGGCAGTCGACGCGCCGAATGCGCGCCAACCGCATGCTGCGCCAAACGCGCGCTGAGAAGGCAAACGCGACCGACCAGCTGCAACGGCCAGCGCTGTGCATGAGCTGCTACCTTGGGCTGCAGCCCGCTAGAAATTGCTGCGTGAAAGATGCTGCTTGCCCTGGGCGGCAAAGCCACACAACTACTCGAGCAGGAATAATCCCACACGGCAAAAGAGTGATCGGTTCTGGAGTGATCAGTCCTGAACGGTGGTTTGGCTTCCCGATGGATCATGGTGCTACCAGTTGGGTTCAGCCATTTCGGCCTACTGACGCTGCACAGCAGCCCTAGAGGGCGAAAGCTCGCCCCAAGACGATTTCCGAGGCCCCCTCCAGAGCGCCATGCCTTAGTTTACCATCTTACAAGCTAGTTTACTCGCTACCCTACTCTGGCGCGAAGTCGTCCTTGGAGCCCCCGTTCACGTCGTCGTCGGTGTCGTCCTCGGTGCCCTTGCTGAACGCCCCAACCTGAAGCAGGGACAGGCCCTCAGAGCGCTTGTCCTTGCCATCCTCCGGCGCGAAGTCGTCCTCGGAGCCCCCGATCACGTCGTCGTCGGCGTCGTCCTCGGTGCCCTTGCTGAACGCCCCAACCTGAAGCAAAGACAGGTCCGCAGAGCGCTTGCCCTTGCCCTCCTCCGGCGCAAAGTCGTCCTCGGAGCCCCCGATCACGTCGTCGTCGGTGTCGTCCTCGGTGCCCTTGCTGAACGCCCCAACCTGAAGCAGGGCCAGGCCCTCAGAGCGCTTGTGCTTGCCCTCCAGCGCTAAGTCGCCCTCGGAACCCCCCATCCCGTCGTCGTCGTCGGTGTCGTCCTCGGTGCCCTTGCTGAACGCCCCAACCTGAAGCAAAGACAGGTCCGCAGAGCGCTTGTCCTTGCCCTCCTCCGGCGCGAAGTCGTCCTCGGAGCCCCCGATCACGTCGTCGTCTTCGTCGGTGTCGTCCTCGGTGCCCTTGCTGAACGCCCCAACCTGAAGCAGGGCCAGGCCCTCAGAGCGCTTGTCCTTGCCCTCCTCCGGCGCGAAGTCGTCCTCGGACCGCCCGATCACGTCGTCGTCGTCGCCGTCGTTGTCGTCCTCGGTGCCCTTGCTGAACGCCCCAACCTGAAGCAAAGACAGGTCCGCAGAGCGCTTGTCCTTGCCCTCCTCTGGCGCGAAGTCGTCCTCGGACCCCCCGATCGCGTCGTCGTCGTCGATGTCGTCCTCGGTGCCCTTGCTGAACGCCCCAACCTGAAGCAGGGCCAGGCCCTCAGAGCGCTTGTCCTTGCCCTCCTCCGGCGCGAAGTCGTCCTCGGACCCCCGATCACGTCGTCGTCGGTGTCGTCCTCGGTGCCCTTGCTGAACGCCCCAACCTGAAGCAGGGCCAGGCCCTCAGAGCGCTTATCCTTGCCCTCCTCTGGCGCGAAGTCGTCCTCGAGCCCCCGATCACGTCGTCGTCGGTGTCGTCCTCGGTGCCCTTGCTGAACGCCCCAACCTGAAGCAAAGACAGGTCCGCAGAGCGCTTGCCCTTGCCCTCCTCCGGCGCAAAGTCGTCCTCGGAGCCCCCGATCACGTCGTCGTCGGTGTCGTCCTCGGTGCCCTTGCTGATCGCCCCAACCTGAAGCAGGGCCAGGCCCTCAGAGCGCTTGTCCTTGCCCTCCTCAGGCGTCGAAGTCGTCCTCGGAAGTCCCTCCGATCACGTCGTCGTCGTTGTCGTCCTCGGTGCCCTTGCTGAACGCCCAACCTGAAGCAGGGCCAGGCCCTCAGAGCGCTTGTCCTTGCCCTCCTCCGGCGCGAAGTCGTCCTCGGACCCCCCGATCACGTCGTCGTCGGTGTCGTCCTCGGTGCCCTTGCTGAACGCCCCAACCTGAAGCAGGGCCAGGCCCTCAGAGCGCTTGTCCTTGCCCTCCTCAGGCGCGAAGTTGTCCTCGGAGCCCTCGATCACGTCGTCGTCGTCGGTGTCGTCCTCGGTGCCCTTGCTGAACGCCCCAATCTGAAGCAAAGACAGGTCCGCAGAGCGCTTGTCCTTACCCTCCTCCGGCGCGAAGTCGTCCTCGGAATCCCGATCACGTCGTCGTCGTCGTCGTCCTCGGTGCCCTTGCTGAACGCCCCAACCTGAAGCAGGGCCAGGCCCTCAGAGCGCTTGTCCTTGCCCTCTCCGGCGCGAAGTCGTCCTCGGAGCCCCCGATCACGTCGTCGTCGGTGTCGTCCTCGGTGCCCTTGCTGAACGCCCCAACCTGAAGCAAAGACAGGTCCGCAGAGCGCTTGCCCTTGCCCTCCTCCGGCGCAAAGTCGTCCTCGGAGCCCCCGATCATGTCGTCGTCGGTGTCGTCCTCGGTGCCCTTGCTGAACGCCCCAACCTGAAGCAGGGACAGGCCCTCAGAGCGCTTGTCCTTGCCCTCCTCAGGCGCGAAGTCGTCCTCGGAGCCCCCGATCACGTCGTCGTCGTTGTCGTCCTCGGTGCCCTTGCTGAACGCTCCAACCTGAAGCAGGGCCAGGCCCTCAGAGCGCTTGTCCTTGCCCTCCTCCGGCGCGAAGTCGTCCTCGGACCCCCCGATCACGTCGTCGTCGGTGTCGTCCTCGGTGCCCTTGCTGAACGCCCCAACCTGAAGCAGGGACAGGCCCTCAGAGCGCTTGTCCTTGCCCTCCTCCGGCGCATAGTCGTCCTCGGAGCCCCCGATCACGTCGTCGTCGTCGGTGTCGTCCTCGGTGCCCTTGCTGAACGCCCCAATCTGAAGCAAAGACAGGTCCGCAGAGCGCTTGTCCTTACCCTCCTCCGGCGCGAAGTCGTCCTCGGAACCCCCGATCACGTCGTCGTCGTCGATGTCGTCCTCGGTGCCCTTGCTGAACGCCCCAACCTGAAGCAGGGACAGGCCCTCAGAGCGCTTGTCCTTGCCCTCCTCCGGCGCGAAGTCGTCCTCGGACCCCCCGATCACGTCGTCGTCGTTGTCGTCCTCGGTGCCCTTGCTGACCGCATAAGAGCTTGACTGGAGTGCTAGGGCGATGGGAAGAGCAAGGAGCAAAGCGAGGATACCCTTGGCAGGAGCCATCCGCGTGGACTGTGAAGTGCCTGGTACAGTACACAGTGCGCACTTGGCAATGTATGTTGTCAAGCTGGGCGGCTTGAGCCAAAATGGCTACGGAATCCCGCCTCACGTTCTTGGGTGGGGATCGCTCGATACAAAATAAGTGCTTCTCTGATACCCGCTTCAAGACAATTGTAGCAGGTATCAGGGAAGCACTTATTTTGTACGCCAGCTTTTGCTGCAATGCAGCAGTGCAGCAAAAGCGGGCATCCTGGCACGAACACCCAAAGTCATTCGATCACGTAAGACTGTCGGCATGCCAGAAACAGATGCCAAAATTTCATGTCGGACTTGCTCCCGGCTGCCGGGGCTGCCGCTGTCTGTTCGGCTCACTCGGGCTAACAAGAACAGTTGCTGATTTACTGCCCTGGGCAATTTAATTACCCAGCGTGTGTGTTCACATTGCTTGGTTGTTGGGCGTGAACATGATAACGTACGGTCGGTAACTTTTGCATATCGTGTCGCAGCGGCGGCAAGCGGTAGCGTGTCGCTCAGCTCCGCGGGGCGGGAGGCTGGGAAAAGCTGGGGACGATGACGCCTGGGGAATGGGAAGTGGTCAGGGCGTCGCGCCGCAAAGTGTGGACCAGAACTGGCGGCGCAACACGTCAAGCCAAAGTTCCAGATCGCGTGCAATCCTGGTCACCACGGTCGACGATCATAGCGAGCACGGTCGCAGCCACGAGGGCGGCAGAGACTAGGGTTTGGACGCGTCCTCGTCGAGACCCGCTCCATCAAGAGACGTGCGTGTACAACTTTCATCTGTTGTGGGCAGGGGCGGGGTCTCCTCTTCGACACTCCTCCTCTCCTCTCCTCTCCTCTCCTCTCCTCTCCTCTCCTCTCCTCTCCTCCCCTCCTCCTTTTCTCCTAAATCCACGATCCTCCTCCTTGATCCTCGTCATCCTCTACCCCACTCCTCAGCCCTTCTCTTTTTCGATCATCGATCCTTCTCCTCGACGTCGGCCGATCCAAGTCGCTCCGAGAATTCATGCCAGGAGATCCGACTGGAATCTAGACGGGTGTCTGAACCTTGAGCAGAAGTCGGCTGAAACGGCAGGCCGATTGGGAAAATACGTGCCGAACATCCGCAAGACGAAAACGCAAACTTTGACTCTGTTTTCAAGGATTGGCGCCATGCTTGCTCCCATGCCTCAATCACCTCCTGTCTACTTGGAAAACGTGCCCGGACGCAGGCAACCTAAAACGTTTGCATAGTTACATGGCGCCTGATGCTTCAAGAGCCACTGCGCCGCCAGAAGCTGCAAACAAGCACGATCCCCAACCCTCCTTCTGCCGCCACCAGGCCTCCACACCGCTGGCCGCGTGCAAGACCTCGACGCGGTCCGCCGACTCCACCCTGCTGGGGTCGTCCCTCCCCTGGTACATCTCGCTGCCGGCGTCCCAGATGGGCTGGCATGAGGGAGGATGGTCCCGGCGAAAACGAGTCCTGGGCCTCGGGGGTTTTCGCTGGAACAAAACTTGTGTCAGGGGCCGATGCTTCACAAACCCGGGGCACAGGGGAAACCCAGCAGCCCGAAAAATGGAGGAAAACTCAAGGCTCATTTCTGCCAGAACCCCCCTTGTCCATGCCAAGATGGAGAAGAGCACGCGGTGGTGACCGTCGCCGTGGTCCTGGATGCCGAAGTAGCCGCCGTTGAAGCCGCAGGCCATAAAGTAGCTCCCCGGCACGGTCAGCTGGACCCGGGCCTTTGGGCACGCGACTACCCGATGGAACCCTCCAGGCGAGCATGGGAAGAGGACAGATTATGAGGTAGGAGGAAGTGGGGATGGGTGGGGGAGGGGGGAATGGAGGGAGGAGGAGGAGGTGAGAGAAGATGGGGAGCAGAGGAGAAGGGTGGCCGTAGTCATTTTAGCTCAAGTTGGGACCCCACGCCCTGGGGGCTGCAACTTGTCCGCAGCCGAGGGACACGCTCAAGGCGGGCCGAACGCAGCCTTCCAGCGCGCCACGGCCGACTGCATCGGCCTTCTTCTGTCGCCGCACACACGTCGGGGCAATGGCGCTGGACCAGGCCCAAAGGATGGCAGCAGCAATGGCAGCAGGAAAAGACCCACAAGCAATACCAGACAGGGGAGTACGCCGTCTGCGAGGCGTGCTCGAGATGGCAGTGGACCGACCGCCTCAAGAAGGACCCGCTCTGTGTCTGCGGGGATCCTGCTGCTGCTCCTGCTGCTGCTCCTGCCGCCACTAAGCACGAGCTCACCCTGGAGGAAATGGGTCAGGATCCTGCTGCTGCTCCCGACGCCACTAAGCACGAGCTCACCCTGGAGGAAATACTCTGGACGAGGCAATCATCGCCCCCCCCCTTGGATCCGCTGGGGGAGTTGGGCACTTGCTGTTGGAACGGGTGGAGGGGGTGGGAGGAGGAGGAGGAGGAGGAGGAGGAGGAGGAGGAGGAGGAGGAGGCGGGGGGATGGGCAAGCTCCGTCGAAGGTTAGTCGCCCACCCCTCGATCAATATCCCAACCAGAGTGCCCATCTTGCTCGGGAAGCAGGGCGCCACCCAGGGGGAGGTAGACGCGATCGAGGACGGCGCCGGCCCGGGCCGCAACGAGGCGCCCACAGGTCAAGAACCCCGGCGGTGCCTTTACCCCTCGGCATCGGCGGAGAGGGCGTCCAGGCACAAGGATGAGACTGACCGGCGGGTGCTACAGCTGGGCGAAGATCTGCCAGGAGCCCCTGGACGCAGAACAGGCTGCCACCCAAGCTCTCGGCAGGGCAAAGACTCCAAGAGCACGGGGAACAAAGAGTCCAAGAGACTGCTCCAGGGCCTGAAGCCCGAAGAACCCATTGAATGGCCCGCGGGGCAGCTTGCCTGTCTAAGAGAGCAGGTTGCCGCCCGCTGATGATCGGCGTTTTTGGCAAAGGACCCTGAGGTGTTGGGATCATCCTTCAACTGCTGGAATATTTGCAACTGGAGAGGGGAAAGGGTGGGATGAGGAGGGGTGGAGGGCGAGGGGAAGGACGCGGGGAGAAGTAGGAGGAGACCGGGAGAGAGGAATAAAGAGGAGGAGAAGAGGAAGGAGAAGGAGAAGGAAGAACCACACTTAATCAAGACAGATCAGAAGGGAGGTCCAAATCCCGTCCTGTGAACAACACCTGGGCGGCGCCCGAGAGTCGAGCGACCGCGCGGACACGCGCCTCCACCGGCTGGTTACTTGTCAGAATGCGACTTTTGCTGGCCCTCGGCGCGTTCATTAACTCGACGGCCACAGCTACACTGCACAACTACGAGGAGGAAGCCAGATCAATGAATCGCGCAGGGCCGAGGACTCAGAACCAAAAAAACAGAAGGGAGACTTTCACTGTTCTAGAAGGATCGAGCACTTTTAGTCGTGCACGAGCGCGCTTTTGTCATGGCGAGAATGCACGTTATGGGGGAAGACGGTGGGGGACGCCTCCACCCCCGCCTTGCAGTGTGGCCCGGCGCCAAGGGAGCGCTCGCGCGAATCTCCTCCCCACCCTGCAATGGGCCCTGTCGCCACCAGAGCGCACGCGCGCACCTGGACCTTTGGCGACGACGTTGGCGATGAAGACTGGGAGACTCTGGCTACAAACTGGGCGACGACAACGACGACGACGACGACGACGGCAAACGAAGACGACGCAGACGACGACGACGATAACGACAACGACGACGACGACAACGACGGCGGACGAAGACGCCGACTGCACGACTGGACGCGTGAATTAAAACGACGACGACGCAGACGACGACAACGACGATGAACAACGACGACGACGACACGACGATAACGATGACAATGGCGACTTGGCGACGACAAGAAGCGACGACAACAGACGACGTCGTCGTCGTCGTCGACGTCGACGTCGACGTCGACGTCGACGACGACGACGACGACGACGACGACGACGACGACGACGACGACGACGACGACGACGACGACGACTGCACGACTGGACAACAACGCGGCGATGACGACGAAAACGCGAACGCAGACGCAGACGACGAAGATGACCTCGAGTGGGCGACGACAAAGACGACGACTCGGCGACGATTGGGGAACGACTGGGCGACGACGGCGACGACGACGACGACGCAGACGACGACGACTGCGACGACGACGACGCTCTTGGACGTTCTTGGGCGGCGCCTCGCGGGCCGCCCACCGCGGTCCCACGAGGCCGAGCCACGCGCGGGCAATGGGCGCGCGCGCGCAGCTCAGCTCGCCACGCCTCGGCGCCTAGGCGTCACCTTTCCTCCTGGCAGCCCTGCCCGCTCCCCTCCTCTGCGTGGGGCCCTGATTGCCGCCCACCCCAGGCCCCTCGGGGCAGGCGTCCTCTCCTCTCGCCGCCTCCGCCTCGGCGGCCTTCGCTCTCCGTCCGAGGGCCACCAGGCCGTCTTCGTCGGTGCCGTAGGCCTTGACGACGTCGACCAGCGGCTTGAAGCGCACCGCACCTCCGCACGCCCTTCCTCCGCCGCCTGCCTCGGCGCCCTCAGCTCCTTCTCCGTGGCCAGCAGCACCTCGCCAGGCGCTTCGGCCAGCTCCTCCCTGGGGCCACTGGCGACCCCTTCCAGGTAGTCGCACCTGCTGCTGCGCCTGCAGGGCAGGGGGTGCAGGCCCTTCCTCTGCCTCCTCAGCTGGTCCTTGCAGCCTTCCGCTTCTCCTCTGCACACCTCGAACAACAGCTCCTTGCGCCGCTGCTTGACCTGCATGCGCCCCTGCGCCCCGGTGGCCCCGCGCCGACGGCAGGCCAGGCCCCTCCCCCCCGTCTCCCAGCGGTATTCGCCGAGGTGGTGCCCTTTCTTTCCAGACGATGATGGGCTCGCGCTCGGCCTGCTTGCTCTCCTCCTCCGCTGCCGACTCCGCCCTGGCCGCCTCCTCGAGCCGCTCCCCCTCGGCTTTGCCCTCGTCGACTGCCGCCTGGAAGTCGGGCGGCATCCCCTCCAGCTCAATCCACAACTCCTTCGGGCTGCCCTCGGCATCCTCGCCTTGGTCCTGCCACCAGACCTGCGACTGGGCGATCCAGCGCGCCGTCTGCTTCGCCAGGAAGCGCGCGCCCTCCGCAGCGAGGGCTCGCTCGGGCCAGCGGCCCCAGAGGCTTGCCCTTCCTTGGATAGGAGGTCCGCCTGCTCGTTGCCCTCGCGCGCCCACCTCTGGGTCTCCGGGGCGCACTCCTTCGCCTCATCTCGTCCGCCCAGCTCGAGCCACCACCGCTTCCAGAGGTGCCTCCCTCCTCGCTGCGCCTTTAGCCAGGGCCTCCCCGATGCCGGTTGCCATTCCAATGGGGCCCATGCAGTCGCTGAAGACTTCCCGCGGGCCGTGAGCGCAGCCCGACAAGGAGTGGAACACATAGTCCTCCCCGTCCATCGCCAGCTGCAAAGGCGCCCACGCCAGTGGAACTGTGCCGCACACTGTACCTGTGGCCTGCCCCCCCCCCGCTGTACTGCACGATGGCCCACCCCGCCCTCCTCAGGATCTCGTCCGACGGGTCGGTGGCTGACCCGTCCACACTGTGCCTCGGATGACCCCGTCGGGCGGGTGCCGCACCCACCTGACCTTATCCTTCTCGGGCCTCTCGTGGGGCACCACCCAGGCCTGCGTGACGTCAGGGAAAAGACCTCTGGCGAACCTCTCTCCTGCTTCTTCTCCTTGCTCGACTGCAAACCTCACCTCCTTGGGGCACACGTCGCGCCTGTAGTGCTCCGCTGCGTCGCAGCCGAAGTGCTTGTGCCACAGCGTGCCTCTGCCTCTCCTGCATCGCCTGCAGGTCTCACTGGTCGCCAGCTTGCGATCGAACCGCCTCACCTGGGGCCATGCTGATTATCCTGCCGCTGTCCTCAGGGCCATCGTGTGCTTGGTGCCCCAGGTTTCAGACTCCTCCTCGACCATGAGCTCCTCGATGTGCCGCCAGCGCACGCCCCAGGCCGAGCGGGGGCCCAGCGCTGGGAGCGCCTTGGCGTCCTCCGTCCACCTGGCTGTGCTGCCGACCACCTCGCTGACCAAGGCTGGCCCTAGCCACTGCATGTCCAGCCACCGCATCTCCAACTCGAATGCCGACGGCATCGTCACCCCTGCCCGCACAATCGCCAATCGCATTGCATCGCTTGGGCTGCTCGCCCCTGCCCACGGCAAATGGCGGTGCATCAGCCTCTCCGCGTGCCTCCAGCAGTGCTCCATAACGATCCTCGGCAGGGTTCTGGTAGGCTCTACTGCACACATCGCCCACGCTCGCGCCGCCTCCTCTGCAACGAGGCCCGCTGGGTCCCGTCTCCTTCCTTCGCGTGAGGCTCGTACCCTGAGGTACGCCACTGCTCCTCTTGGCAGCCTGCCTTCTGATTTCGCCACCTGGATGCGCAGCTGGTGCAGCTTCTGGTCGACGACGACGACGACAACGACGACGACGACTACAATGGGTGGCGACGACGACGACAGGGTGACAACGACGAAAACTGCGCGACGACGACGACTACGAAGACGACCTCGGCGATGAACTCGGACGTCTTTGCCCCGCTCCTCCTCTTCCTCCTTCTCTTGTTCTTCGTATTTCGTTTGCTCCTCGTCCTCCTCCTTCCGTCTCCTTCGTGTTCGGCGCCCCGCAACACGAATCGACACCAGAAACGTAATCGACGAGGTTTTCCTGCGTACTGTCCTCCTCCAATTTTCTGCCTCTCCTCTTTGCAACATAACGCGGCCGCAGCGATGCGCCACCCAGTGCCAAGCAGC